GTTTTATATGAATTCCATGTTGTACGAGTCACTTAGATTTTATGAATACGTGTGCCGGGCTGTGAACGGCTCACGTATTTGTAAAATCTAAGTGACTCGTACAACATGGAATTCATATAAAATGGAATTATCAACAGTGTTATAGGGGGGTCGACTGTACTATTAATTACTTCTGAAAAATCCTAATGAGAAGAGAAAAGCAATTGACATTGGACAATTCTTTAACCCCCACAAACGGAAAAAACATGACTAATAAAATTGCAAGACTGTGTATAAATGTATTTTTACTATTACGTATAAATAAATGTAGTAAAAAAGTATATATTTTTTGTTTTTTTGGAGTCTCCAGAACGAATTAATCAAATTCCCATAAAAACCTATGGTAAATCGACAATCGGTTAACGAACAGTTCGGATAATGAACGAAGTCTTGGAACAGATTATGTTCGTTAACCGATCACCCACTGCAGTAATTTTATCAATAAAATTATATTCTGTTTTTTATTATTTAAAATAAAAAACTTTTTTAAAAATTAATTATCTATATATATAAATAAGAATGTTTGTTTGCTTGTTTGTTATGAATTCATAGGCCATTTAACCACTTATTATGAAACTTGCCGGTAATGTTAACATATGCCATTGTCTAACTTAGAAGTATGTATCACTTCACAAATTTTGATTGAATTTCTATATATCAATTATTGTTTGCACTACATGCAGTCAGCAAATCTCATGTAATGTATTGACAAAAAATTTTAAAAATAATGAACTAAATATACCATATAATCTGTGCAGATAAGATGTTAGTTGAATCATAAAAAAAGACCCCCAAAATCTGGGGTCGTCTTATAACAGTGTTCTGCAACCTTTTTCTACTTGCGGCACATCCATGACTCAACATGTCTCACCAAAATGTTATTCCCCTCAGAAGCGTATGATATGATACTATTAATTAATAGGTTAATGGCATTATGCAATTCTATTATTATTATGTTGGGTTTAGTGGGTTATACTCGGTTCACACCGGTGGCTGTGTACTATGCCAGACCAGAGTCAAGGCATAGCAAACAAAACTAAAATTAAATAAGTGTGTCAGTGTCTGTATTCAGGAATTTCCTAACAATATGGTGTGTATTCAATATAGTGGCCATCTGTAGTGTGATATATGTATTTCTATTCAATTGTAATGTTCCCAGGCTTTTGTGTAGTGTGATGTATGTACTTCTATTCAATTGTAATGTTCCCAGGCTTTTGTGTAGTGTGTGTGGTATCACACCTGTACAGGAGACAATGAAAGGTACAATAAGCACCCTATCCATCCTCCACAGATGCCTTATTTCCTGGGCGAGTTCTGTGTACTTGCTAATTTTTTTCAGTGCATGTGTTTTGTACATTGTGAGTGTTTGGAATGGTTATGTCTATAATGTGTGTGATTTTATTGTGTTTGTCGATGAGTGTGATGTCTGGTCTTTTGTGGTAAATTGTTTTATCTGTGATTATGGCTCTGTCATAGTACATTTTGTGCATGTTGTTTTCCAATACTGTCTGTGGAATGTATTTGTAATATGGTTCATAGATGTCTATCAATTTGTGTTTCTTTGCAAGCTCTTGGTGTATTATATTTGCTTATTATTATTATTATTATTATTAAACAGACATGAATACCTTAGAGAAATTTATTTTACATTTTCTTAAAATACAGGTAACCTCCATATAACATGGCACTTCTATAGCACAGATTCACTCTAACACGGTTTGAGAATTGGGTAAAATCCTCATACAACATGAAATGTAATAAAGGGTGCATTCTTTTATACTCCTGCCTAACTCTGCGTGAGCATTCTAATTTTTTTCATGGCTACTTTGAATGCTCTTTCAACAAATAAACCATTTAATGGTTAAATTTTACAATTGGGACCCTTCTTTTGCCTCTAAAAGCTCATATTTCAGAATTATAGATGCCTGCATCATAAAACTATTAATAGTGCGAGCGCCGCCATATTTTTTTCTTTCACCATCGTTCCTAAATGCCTACAAACAGCAATGCACTCCCATCATAGTGGAGATGCAGAGCGACCACTATTAACAAACGCATCCAAAAACTTTTACCAGTTGATGATGCTCATGCTGAGATCATCATATAGGATGAATAATCCTCTGGTAAAATATTTACTTAAATAAGTATTTTACCCTTAAAAAAAAGTGAATAATAAATCTGATTTAAATAAGGATTTAACAGCATGTTTTTTAATTTTTGGAACCTAACCCCCTCTTTTCGCATTAGTTCTTTGTTTTGTATAACACGGATTTGCATAACATGGCAATTTTTTTGGAACGTAATTCTCGTGTTGTTCCAAAAAAATTGCCATGTTATGTGAAATAGATAATTAAGATTAAGATAATTAATTATAGATAATTAAGGTAACTCCCATGTTTTTGTTATACGGGAGTTACCTGTACATAAAAATGTGTGGCTTGTAGTAAAGAATAAACAGAGATCATCTTATTTCATAAGTGTTGCGGCACTTATGAAATAACACTTGAAATACAAGCATAAGAAACACAATGTATATAGTTGAATATTTAAGTAAATTTTGATATTTTTTATTAGGATGGAACTAGATCCCGACAATCCTCAACATGAACAGTATGCTGGAAATCTAGTTGCAGCTTTAGTCCAAGAAGTTGAAAGTAAATTAGCATCAGAAGAAAATTTTCTTATACGTTTAAAATTAAGTGAAGCTGCTACTTTTTTTAAGGTATGACTAATTTTTAAATCTGCATTTATAATATTAGAGATTATAATAGTTTGCTAAGAATAAAAATTAATAAAAACAGAAGTTAAATAGAACGAAATTTTAACCACTGCATGACTGACATCTCAAATGCTAAAAGATGTGTTAATATGCCCACTTTATTGTGGATCTGAAAGTAGAGTTGAAAGGAATTGTCTGGCTGATACATTGGTGTAGTTTCCTACTTCTGCATGTGATTGAAACGTCCAAAAGTTTAACTCTCCTGAGCAATCAAATATGATTATATCTAAAATTAACTAGAAATTCCCTTGTCAAGCATGATGAAATATTTTTTAAGAGAAAATAGAGATTGAAGAAGAGACCTTCAAGTTAATTGACATTGTAATGCAGTTTCTGCAGTCATTGACAGAGCTGTTCTTACTCAATGTTGCTCAAGTCGGACTTTTTGGCCTTCGGGATCTCAGTTGTTCTTATTCTTTTACATCTAGAATTTACCATCACAAATTTTATTCTTATGCCTCAGTGGCGTGCCGTCAGTAGAAGCGGTGGAAGTGTTGCTTCCCTTGTATTTTATAAAAATAAATACATATTAATTTTAATTATATGAAAATAATCGCACAATATTTTATTATAACTGCATTATGTATCTTATTACAAATTTCTATACTATGATTGAGTCATATGACTTCCAGAATGCGACAATGGTTTTGTTGTTCTGTTGGAACAGATATTTTCATGTTAAAATGTTGTTTATTAGTACACAATTTATTATATAGTGTATTTCAGTGTTATAATTGAGTGAAAATGAATGAAGACTAAGTGTAGAAGAAGGCGATGTTGGATCTAGAAAGAAACCTAAAACTGTTGGTGTACAGGCAAAGAAGAAAACACAAAAATACAATGCTCCTTTGGGATGAGATTTGAGCAGCCCGTTGAGCAACTACCTGTAGGGACCCTTTGTCAGCTGCCATGAAAAAAGACATTGAATTAGTTTTAAACGATGAAAGTTTTTCAGAAAAGAAAATAATGGGAACCTGTGTGATTGGGAGAAAACATTTATTGTTCATCTCTATTTTGTAAAATGCCATGTCTTTTTTTGATAAGTCAAAGTAGTAGCCAGTATAACAAAGTAAAAAAAAAAAATTAATATAGTGGTCAGGCAAAAGAAAACATATCATAAGATAGTTCATGCAAAAAAAAAAATCATACTTACCCTGTCCAAGCAAAAAGAAACATGTCCATATTTTAATGTCATATAATTAAATACTAACTATATTCCTATCAAAAACTGCCTTCAGAAATTGATGTTAGATACAAAATGAAAAAAAAGAGAATTTTTACAGGTGTAAAAAAATTTAATAAAAGTTTTTTGCATTTTTCCAACAATTGTTTAGAGTGGACTTGTTTGCTTTTGCATGACATCTCCACAATTGATATGATAATAAAATATTTGGGTCTTGAAAAATGTTAATTTCAGCTAATCAATGATTTGTATAACTTAGTGTTGCTTGTTGAATTTGATAATTTTATGTAATTAATGTTGAATAGTGTGATTTAATTGGAATATTGTTAATTAATTTATTATTACTTAATTTTTATGCAAGCATTATTTTAATAGGAAAATTATTTTCATAATCCAAAACAATTGGTAAGAGTTGTGAAACACTGTCTACAGACTGAGAAGAGAACTGTTCAGCAAGCAGAAAATGTAAGTAGATTTTTTAGTTATGTAGTATAAATTCAAAATAAACCAGTCTAAAATGGATAGTATACAAAACGGAAACCTGTCTAAATGGAAAATAAATCTTAGAACAGAACTATTTGCTAGAATTCTGTCTAATGCAGAAACAATTCTCTCTGGAACTAATTGTATAACTTTGGTGTAAAATGGCATTTATAGATGAATATCTTTTTGATATTAAGTTTATCAAAGTGTCCATTTTCTGAGAAATTTTGTTAGAAACTACTCAATGTTTTATAAAGGTTACAGTTGCTAGAGTCAAAAGAATTTTACTTACTCCATCCTAAAACATCTGACTTGACAACACTGGTTGTGACAATGTTCCTTATGATTATTTCCATTTTTCTAGAAGAGTGAAATTGTTATCAAGAAATATAGCCGCTTTCTTACTTACAAATGTTCAACTTATGAAATTTCAGACATACGAACAATTTGACCATATACAGTAGAGCGTCATTTATCTGAAAGCATTCCAGCCGGCAAATTTAAATTTTCGCTAGTGCTGTGGCGCTGCAATCTTTGGCTATATTTGGGCTACTCCAATATGTTTTTTTGTTGGTGTGCATGTTTTAGTTGGCAGCACTGGCACTTTTGTGTGGTGTTTTTGTGAGGACTGTGTGTCATGCTGAATCAAACGTTTCTGATACTAGATCATCATCTAAAGTGTATATTTTTTGGTTTTTATATTTTTCAATATATTTATTTTGTTTGTAAGAAATAAAGAAATAATTTTTAATGATACAATAGCCATGATTATTATTTTAAAAAGTATACGTTAGGCTTAACATCAACGAAAATTCAACATGAAGCGACACGCAACGGAGAAAATTTTCAACACGGGATAGGTTAATATATTTTTTCGTACGTAATCGGTTATCCGAAAAATAAGTTATCCAAACAACCTCAGTCCCCAATTGATTTGGCTAAATGACACTCTACTGTATCTAAAATTTAAATTTCATGTAGATTCTGAAGTTTACTTGTTGAACTTGGAATGGCATTGGAGTAACAGTGTTTGCTGTGATTGATTGCAATTTTTATAAGAATGAAATGCTTTTGTTCCTTACTTTGGTGTCAATTGAAAATATAAGATGTGAAGTTGTATGGCCAAGTATTCACATTTTATAGCTTTTTTTTTTAAAAAAAAACAGACTATTTTGTTATTAACTTGTAATTATTCCTATTTCAGCTGCCCATAACTTTACCTAGTGTATAAATTTCTTTATGTAACATCTTTTGGAATTTGAGTTGAGGTCTTTAAATATGCTTCAAAAACATCTCAAAAATACAGTAGTAAATATAGTAGAAGAGATAAATGCAAGAAGTGCAGCTCTATTACTGGGGAATCAAAACTTGACAGTATGAAACTAAGTATGTTAGTAGAATACATTATTCTTGTTTACCAACTTACTACTGCATACTACCAAGTGTTTCAAATAGTTATTTCACCTAAGTACATTGATGCTTCAAACACTAACAATAAGTAGTAACTTCACAACCAACAACTGTCTACCCTTAACCATTAACCGGTGCGAAATTCTTTAAAATCGGCGAACGTTTTCGATTCCCCTCCTGGGATCTTCTTCAGGCTTACTTCTTTATATCTTTCGTTATAACCGGATTCTTTAATTCGAATGTTTTTGAAAAAACGTAACGTGCTATTTTTCGAAAAAATTCCGAAAACGGAAGGAATCCACTTGTTATTTCAAATGTAATTTTCTACCAATGGGGAATCATTGTGTGCATTACGTCATAAAACTTGTCTTATAAACTATATTATGATTTATCGTCAATTAAAAATTGCCATGCTGCAGAGAGATTTATTTCTTCTTTGAAATTAATGCATGCGGATTTACGATCGGCTTTAAATATTTCCAGTGCCTCCAAAGTTCTTAGTTGTTCCGTGTGTTGGGTGGTGCGAATAACATGCGCTTCATCGAAGAAAGGTGTGATGTCCG